TGAAACATTTAACTCATTCACTGCCATTGACGTCTATAGACGTCAATGGCAGTGAATGAGCCAATGGGTTTAACTCATTCACTGCCAGCCATTGGCAGTGAATGAGTTAATATAATGTGGACAAAAATAAAAAAATAAAAGATAGTCTCGATCCGTACCGCGCATGTGCAGGGTTTTCTTCTTCTGTTCGTTAATGGCAGTGTGCTCCCCAGTGTACGAGGATACCGCCACCTGCTGACTGAGCGAATGAACCCTATTATAAACTGAATTAGCGTCATTACAAACGTGTGTTAAATTTGATTTAGTGATAATCGAGTGTGTTTATGCTTGTCTGTGTGGAGAGGGTTGTTGGAAAAGTGATGATAATGTTCGCTATCACTGTCAATTGCCAGTAAACACTTCATCTGGCTGCTGAATCTTCACGTGATATATTATAAAGTCTGTATTATTAACTCTGTCACTAGGCACCATTCTTCTTATTTTACGGCGCTGTTGTTCAATCGGGGGAACGCTTTCTGTTGAGGAGAAAGCAAAAATTTGTTGCGGATACGGATTATTCATTGTTTAAATGTCGTGGTAGTCGAAAAGGAGGCAGAGCTGCTGAGAAATGCTAGGAGCTAACTGGGCGCTAACCGTATCATCAAATGTATTGAATGTCGCAATGGTGGCAAAAAGAGGAAGTGACGTAAGATTTGCGCATGCGGGCTACCGATCGGGTTTCCGGTACGGATCGGGTAGTGACACTAAGCACTGTCAGTGGCGAACTGCATTGGTTTTGTTTAAAAATAAGTGTTCCACTGTGTAAAATGGCGGTTTGCTAAGCATATATTGTGTTTATTGAGAGGTTCATGTTTTGTCTGATAAGAGCAGTTTGGTTGCATGTTTCATTTGGTAATATCTGCCGCAATTTCGGGCTACATTCCCGCTAGTTAGCAGAGCACCCATTCGGTCAAAGTAATGCAAGATGAAGCATTAGCTTTTCAGCTGCAGTTTGCTGGTAATCCTGCTATTTGGTTTTGTGTCATACTCATTCCTGAGACTGTGGAATTTTGTAAAAACGTGATTATTTTGCTTAATGTGTTTTTTATATTTTGTTGTTGTATTTTACTATGTTGATAATTTCGCAGTGTTTACTGTGATTTGCAAAGGGCCAGCAGCAGAGTTGGAGTGGTGTTTGCCCCAGCATCTGAATGAACGGCGCGGTCCGAGCCACAAATTGAACGCCTGTGTCTAACTGGTCTCTCTGCTGTGCACCCCAATCCAACACAAACTTACACAACGCAGAGTCCGGGGTGTAGGGAGGCTCCTGCACTGGTTGGGTTACATCTACATTTTCACATTTAGTCATGATACTGGGTTGCAAAGGCAGCCAGAAAGCGTGGACACAAACACACCAGTTCAAGTCGTTGTGGGGTGCTTCGACTTCAGGTGTAGTTAAATTTCTCAGGCGATGGACATGTAAAATTTAACTCTGTCCTGATTATCTGAGTTAATCAACAAGTTAAAATCTGTATGTAATATTATTTTAATTTATTTTTATTTTTTATTATTATTTAAAAGGTATTGAATATTTTATAAAGACAATTTATTTGTTTGGGTATATTATTTAACAGGTTGATTTTTGTACATTTATAATCTGAGTTAAATTTCAATAAAGGTTCACCCAGTGTGGTTAATATTAAAATTGTTATAAGATCACTGCAAACAACAGAACATTTGTGGTATCTGCTTTACATTGAATCCAACACTAAAGCTAGTTTGGTCAAAACTGGGGGACCAGGTTTTGGAGACAGTATAGAGCAGTTAGACCACAGATAAAAATACAAAGATGCAACGATTAACATATGTATGTAACCTTTGTAAGTAGCGTTTGCTTTTCAGTCTTCTTTCCTAACACTGCTACTGAGAAACAACAACTGCTGTAACTAGTTGAAGGTGCACGACCACAGATCTATTTTGGTTTTCTGCTTTTCATCTAACCCACCACTCAACCTAGTTCGATCAAAACTGGGGTATCAAGCTTTAGACACAGTACAGAGCAGTTAGAGCGCAGCTAAAAAGACTGTGTGAAGATTAACACATGTATCTAACTTTTGTAAATAGCTGAAGCTTTTCATGGTCTTTGCATTTCTCAACACTTCTGCTGAGAACAACAGCTACCCTAACTAGTTGAAGGTGCACGACCACAGAGCTGGCACCTTTTTCAGTGCAAACTGACGCTTCACCACAGGGCAAGTTCTCACGATATGAACTCTGTGCTTGGCCAAACCAGAACAGAGAAGTGTCATCAGCTTCAGACTACAGGAAGGAGCTGCTGTGGTTTTACATGCAGAACTTTTTAAGTAGTTAAAAAGATTCATCGTATAACAGTTGTCTCTGTTTAAACTTCATATTAACATTCACTCTTCTAAGAGATGGTGTGCGCCATTAAGATAGCAGTGTAATTGAATTCAATTCAGTTGACTTTTATTTTTATACTGCCAAATCACAAGTTGCCTCAGTGAGCTTTATATTCTAAAATAAGGACCCTACAATAATACATAGAAAAAACACAGAAATCAAATGACTCGATTTGACAAACACTTGGTGACAGCGGGAAAGACAAACTCCCTTTAACAGGAAGAAACCTCCAGCAGAGCCAGGCTCAGGGAGGGGCGGGGCCATCTGCTGAGTGGACAGTGTGAGGTGTAGTCTCGCCACAGACTGTCTCAGTCTAAAGAAACATCATGGAAAACGATATCTGTTGTACCAGGTTTGTGTGTGTGTGTGTTTTCAGTAGCTCACTGACTGGTTTGTGACAAAGGTGGAGTCAAAATGATTGAACTGTTTTAAAGATGAGTCAGAGCCCTGAACTGTGTGTGTGTGTTTTTGCTCAGAGACTAATTAATTGTCATGATAGTCAGTGTTATCAATGAGATAAGCTGTTATGTCTCAATATTTGTGGAATTTGTTTTACATTAAAATATCTTATTAAAGTAACCTGTGCATGAAGGAAACTCCTTAAACTACTACTATATTATTTAATGTAAATATGAGGACGGGGATTCTGGGTAAAAAAAAAAAGACAGAAGGAGCAAAATATAAAGGTCAAGGTGTTGAGACCTGCACAAACAATTAACCAGTGAACAGTTTAGGAGCTTTGGGCAGGTTTCACAGTTTTGAATATGCAGGTTGTTACTGTACGCTTTGTTGATCAGGAAAACTCAGCGATGATGATCCGTATTTATTGAATGTTATTAGTTTATGTTGCAAAGACAATAACCTCTGATTGTATATAATAGATTCAGTCTAACATATATCAATGTTAGCATTACTAAACCTCAGGTCTGCATCTTACACAGCTGAACACCAAATCCTGACTAAAAGGTGCTTAGTGGTAATTTTAGTGACAGCTTTTTACAGTATCTACTTGGGGCTTTGTATCTAATGTCCCCAGAAGCTTACAATCTTCAGTCACTCATTCTCCTTTAATACCATGTTACACACTTCTCTAAATCCTGTTTGATTTTTGTTTGCATTGTTTTGTATTGTTATATCAACCTGAGAAATATTAGAAAACTGAAGTCTGAAGTTTTTAAACAGAAGCATTAGATGCTCGTTCATGTATCAACATCTGTAATTCTTGGATTTCTCCACACAGTAAATTTGTCCTGAACCACCTGCAGGTTATTTAAAATGCTGTCAGACAGACAAACTCATATCACCGCAGACAGGAGACCAATAAGAGCAGCTGTACCTCTCATCTGTGATCTGGTTTTCGTGTCTTTGATGATGATTCGACCATAACCGATGTCTTCTGTTCTCACTGCAGAGTAGATTACTGCTGCATCACTGTCTGCACAATAAAACACACAAAATGTTGGCATCACATAAATATGAAGCAGTAAAGTTTAAACTTTGAGTAAAGCTACATATGTTAAACTGAGTTAAGCTAATTATAAAAATAAATTATGAATAAAACGATAGTAAGTTTACTTAATGTGAATATGAATTATTTATTTCTAGCGCCTGATAGAGAAACACCTGCAGGTAACTTTAAAAACAGTCATAAACAGGAAACTGTACAACTGCAGAGGTGTTAGCTTTTGTTAACCACAGACAACAAACACAAAGGCCAGCATGTAAAGAAATGCTCATGAGCACAGAGTGAATTTACAGACTTAAATGACTGAGTTTAAATGTGGAGAGAGGAAACAAAACAAAAGAAAAAAAGTTAAAGCCGTGACATACAAAGATGAACTCTGGCGAAATTACTACAGAGTTAAACTTTAGCATCAATTTAATAGAACGTTTATTTTTCTATTACAATTCACAGTTGTACTTTCTTCACCTGCTTCATAATATCCTCATAGAAATCTTTTCATGAGACATAAAATCTCTATGAATATAATCAGAACTTAAAAGTATTTTATAAAATTGGAGCTGAATAAACACAAATAAAATAACCAACAAAGGACCTCAAATTACCGTTGTTTTGTTTTTTTGGATGTTGATGAGTTGATATTTTGACATCACTGTACAAGATGTCATCTGTGAGGCCATTTTCCACAGCTTCATCTAGTGAAATTATTAAAATTAAGAAAGTATTTACAATCACAACATTTTACAGTGAAGAGTCCAAATAAAAACAAAAATAACAGTTTTACATTTTAATGTGAAATTAAAATTTAAAAATCAATAATAACATAATAAACATAATAGCATAAACATGGATTTACATAACCACATATATTGAAAAGTCTGAGTCTCACCTTCTGGTTTCCTACGAACACATCGTTTTCTCAGCAGAACCACCAACACCAGTAGAACCACAAGACAGACCGATCCAACAGATGACAACACATAGAGAACAGGAGGAGAGGTGGATGTAGGTGGAGGTGTGGTGGTGTCTTCCCCTAAAATAAAGCAAACACAGTCATTAAGTTGTCGTCACATTGTGAATGTTGAAAGCTGCAGAAACACAGACAGGTGAGTGTGTCACCTGTGACAGTGATCCAGCTGGATGGAGACTCTCCATGACCGCTGATGTCACACTTGTAGAGGCCTTCATCAGACCTGGAAACATGCTGGATGGTCATGTGACCTGTAGGCTGCTTCCTGATGAGGGAGCCATCTTTATAGAAAGCAGCTGGGAGGTTGGAGGGAGTGGTCTTTGTTTTACAGAGCAGAGTGACGTCATCTCCCTCCATCACAGGGAGGACAGGACTCTGCAGGATCACTGATTCACCTCAACACAGAGACAAACTACAGCATTTCATCCATTTACACACAGCTTCATCAACACTAACTCCACACACTCAGCTTACCAGTGACTGTCAGGTTAACCATGTTACTGATGGGACCCTCTCTGGACTCACACCAGTAAACTCCACTGTCATGAGGTACTGTTAAACTGATCTTACACGTAGAACCATTTACTTCTCCCCACCCATCTCCACACTGAGTCCTCTGTCGTGTGCTTGTGTTTCTCCTCAGAGTCCATCCAGCAGAGCTGTCGTCCTCCTCACAGCTCAGAGACACAAAGTCTTCCTTAAAGAACTGAGAGCTGCTGGGACTCACAGTCAGACGAGCTGTGAGGGTTAAAATGAAAGAATTATGATCTGTTAGTCTTTACATTCTGAAACATGAACCCAATCAGGTCATATCATTGAGCATTTCTCAGGTTTAAACTGTGACAGAAGAAGGTTACTGACCTTGGTTTGTTGTGCAGCTCAGCAGTGAGATCAGAACTAAAGAGAAATGACACTCAGGTTGATTTGAGGTGAACACAAAGAACAACTCCACACAAACAGCTGACCAACACACAAACTCATCTCTCATTTTATTTTTGTTTCCAGCAACATGTTTCAATAAAGTTTGGACAAGAAAACACTGAAAATCCATTTTCATAATCGCTTGTTCAAATTTGTTGATACCATCAACGTATTCATACATGTTGGACTTTTCATGACTTTTCATGATCCTCTACTCCAGTTTTTATACAAAAAACAACATTTAAATTAATCATTATGTGCAGTGACTAAAGATTGAGTGTAGACAGTGATCACTACTTTTAAATAACACAGTAAATTCATGTGTCCACTGTGCAGCTGTGTTGATATAATGAGTGAATGATTTGATCTTTTCACTGCCTGCTGTGTTTCCTCGACTCCTGAGCAAAGATAAAGAGTCAGTTCAGACCTGCAGTTGGTCCTCGTGGTGTTTTGAACTTGAATTCAGCCTGATTTGTTTTTCATGTCTTCTCCTCCATCATCAGTTATCAGGAGAGCAGACAGTCAAAGTACAAGAATTCAAACAAACACAGAGATTCTACTTACAGAGCAGACACAGCACAGATGTTTCCTTCATCGTCCTTCTCACTCATTTGAGCTTTTTTTCATTTCTGTCACTGACACCAAGTAAAGCCCGCCCTCTTCCTCTGAGCACCAGCTTTCTATTGGTTCAAATGCAGTGAGTGGGAAACTAACTTTTTCGATTTTCTTGGAGAAAAGGTTAGCTACTTGTCACTTAACACTGCGTGTCCTGTTTTTTTTTTTCAGTGTTTCTTTTTTTTTGAACTTTGAATTGTTTCAAAGAAACAGACTGGTAAAATCCTAAAATTGTGGAAATATATTCTCATTACTTGTTATGTAACTGAATATTTATCCACCCTGCCCCTGACACTCAAATTTTCTCTGGTCTCATTGAGCTGTAGTTTGGTTCATCAACAAATCTACAGGGTTGGCCATTTATATGGATACACTGTAATAACATGGGAATGGTTGGTGATATCAGAATCAGAATCAGAATCATGTTCATTGGCCAAGTATATGTGCAGACACATACAAGGAATTTGGTTCCAGTAGATGGAGGCTCTCAAGCACAGCAATGTAAATCACACACACACACACACACACACACACACACACACACACACACACACACACACACACACACACACACACACACATATCAAAGTCCTGTTTGTGGCACATTAGTATATGTGAGGGGGCAAACTCCTCAAGATGGGTGGTGACCATGGTGGCCATTTAGAAGTCGGCCATCTTGGACACAACTTTTGTTTTTTCAATAGGAAGAGGGCCATGTGACACATCAAACGTATTGGTAATGTCACAAGAAAAAAAATGGTTATTATACATACATATACATACATACACTCAACAAAAATATAAACGCAACACCTTTGTTACTGCTCCCATTCCCCATGGGATGGACGTAGAGACCTAAAATTCATTCCAGATACACAATATAACCATCCCTCCCAAACAGTGGTCACAAATCAGTCCAAATGTGTGGTAGTGGGCACATCTGCTATATTGAGATAATCCATTCCACCTCACAGGTGTGCCACATCAGGATGCTGATCTGACATCATGAGTAGTGCACAGGTGTACCTCAGACTGCCCACAACAAAAGGCCACCCTGGAATGTGCAGTTTTTTGCGCTATTGGGGGTCTGGGGACCCAGAACCGGTCAGTATCTGGTGTGACCACCATTTGCCTCATGCAGTGCAACACATCGTCGCATGGAGTCTATCAGATTGTCAATTGTGGCCTGTGGAATGTTGGTCCACTCCACTTCAATGGCTGTGCGAGGTTGTTGGATATTCGTGGGAACTGGTACACGCTGTCGTATACGCCGGTCAAGCACATCCCGAACATGCTCAATGGGTGACATGTCCGGTGAGTATGCTGGCCATGCAAGAACTGGGACATTCTCAGCTGCCATCTGCCCTGAACAATGTGAACCATGATTCATCCGTGAAGCGCACACCTCTCCAACGTGCCAGACGCCATCGAATGTGAGCATTTGTCCACACAAGTCTGTTACGGCGACGAGCTGGAGTCAGGTCAAGACCCCGATGAGGACGACGGGCATGCAGTTGAGCGTCCCTGAGACGGTTTCTGACAGTTTGTGCAGAAATTGTTTGGTTGTGCAAACCAATTGTTCCAGCAGCTGTCTGGGTGGCTGGTCTCAGACGATCTTGGAGGTGAACCTGCTGGATGTGGAGGTCCTGGGCTGGTGTGGTTACACGAGGTTTGCGGTTGTGAGGCCGGTTGGATGTGCTGCCATATTCTCTGAAACGGCTTATGGTTGAGAAATGAACATTCAATGCACGGGCGACAGATCTGGTTGACATTCCTGCTGTCAGCATGCCAATTGCACGCTCCGTCATTGCTTGTGGCATCTGTGGCATTTTGCTGTGAGACAAAACTGCACATTCCAGGGTGGCCTTTTGTTGTGGGCAGTCTGAGGTACACCTGTGCACTACTCATGATGTCAGATCAGCATCCTGATGTGGCACACCTGTGAGGTGGGATGGATTATCTCAATATAGCAGATGTGCCCACTACCACACATTTGGAATGATTTGTGACCACTGTTTGGGAGGGATGGTTATATTGTGTATCTGGAATGAATTTTAGGTCTCTACGTCCATCCCATGGGGAATGGGAGCAGTAACAAAGGTGTTGCGTTTATATTTTTGTTGAGTATATATATATATATATATATATATATATATATATATATATATATATATATATATATATATATAAAGAGTAATATTTAAAAGTTTTTAGCCCCGCTCGTCCGCCATTGCCGCGTTTGAGTTTTGGATGAAATGCATTCTGGGATATTTAGCTGTACCAAGTCCACACAAGTCATGACCGATGCATGCTTGATAAAACGGGTGGAGCGAGAACACATCCTGGACTTTTTCGCGTTCTCGGCTTGATGCGTACTTTGAATTGGAACAGTACTTGGTCTCCGACTGATGACGTATCACGAGTACACGAGAACGCAAGTACACACAAGTACTCATATTGGCTGTATCCCAATTCAGGGTCTGCAGCCTTATTAAAGGCCGCATTTTAAGGCCGATTACGTCACAGCGGCGAGACGAAGGCTGTCCCAATTCGAAGGCTGCTCGAAATGCGGCCCTCAAATGTGTCCTTCATTTTACTGAATTTTAAGGACGTGGCGGTGTAGACTTCGTGGCCCAACATATCCCAGAATGCATAGCGCGGCGGTGGGTGTGGATAATTTTGCCGAAAAAAACGGTGGATGAGGGTCGCCCGAAGAGTAAACTTTAAGTAAGTACTGAATATGATGTCACTTATTTATGTGCAAATGTTTAATAACGAAGATCATTAAAACATTACTGTTGGCCACATGTCGGCAAAGTTATGTGACATTAGTGACGTTTGTACTAACTTGGTTTTAAAGCCTTTACTTTAAAATATACACCGTTCAATAGCTGACCTTAATCTTACAGAGAATGATCAAAGCTCATGTAGAAACAAACAAACTAATGAACAAATGATTTTCTCCTTCATTTCTGTCAAACAAAGCTGTATGAAACGTTTCTAGCTGTTAGTATCATGGTTGCTAGGCAACCTGGGCAGAGGCTAGACCGTTCCATTTCACAAGCCTCGCACTTCCGGCCTTAGTGGTCTTTAAGTACGCGGCCCTTGAGGATCGTTGAGACTGCGTACTTTAAGGCTGCAGACCCTGAATTGGGATACAGCCATTGAGAAAAGCCCACACATTCACTCACTCACCCCCTCCCTCCTGGCTCACAGCTTCTTCTTCTTCTTCTTGGTTGGCAACCAATGTTAAGGCGCATTACCACCCCCTGGCTCACAGCTCAGTGGACATTTAGATGAGAAAATATATATTTGACACATTTAACGAAAATACTAATAAAATAAAAATAAACAAAATAAATGTTTATTAAGCAATTTTGATAGGAAATTGCTTAGTTTTAGAAATGTTTTTGCTGTTTTTTGCTCTATAAAATAGTTTTAGTTTTAGAATCACTCATCTTAGCAGTAGGATATACATGAAAATGTACATTTTTGCACTCTCTGGTCAACTGACTCAATGATTGCACTCCAGTATTAAAACACAAATCCCCCAACCAGAGTATCACCACAACTTAACCTAATAGACCTACACCTTAGCTCACAGATTCACTTTGTCTAGGGTGTATTCCTGGGATTTCACACAACCCAGGATTCAAATCAGGAATACATAATGGGTTTGGATTTACATCATTGTGAATGAAATGTGCTCTACTTGGAAGCAGCCGGCCCCCCTCCCCTTTCGACAGGTTGTGTGTGAGACTTTAAATCATCCATCCATCCATCCATCTTCATCCGCTTTATCCGAGGCCGGGTTGCGGGGGCAGCAGCCTAAGCAAAGAGGCCCAGACCTCCCTCTCCCCAGCCACCTCCTCCAGCTTATCCGGGGGAACACCAAGGCGTTCCCAGGCCAGCCGAGAGATATAATCTCTCCAGCGTGTCCTGGGTCTGCCCCGGGGCCTCCTCCCGGTGGGACATGCCTGGAACACCTCACCCAGGAGGCGCCCAGGGGGCATCCTTGTCAGATGTAGGGACGTAGATTGACCGGTAAATTGAGAGCTTCGCTTTTACACTCAGCTCCCTCTTCACCACGACGGACCGGTGCAGCGTCTGCATTACTGCAGCTGCAGCCCCAATCCGTCTGTCGATCTCCGGCTCCCTTCTCCCATCACTCGCAAACAAGACCCCGAGATACTTGAACTCCTCCACTTGGGGCAGGAACTCATCCCCGACCCGGAGTGTCGGGGATGAGTTCCACCCTTTTCCGGCTGAGAACCATGGCCTCAGATTTGGAGGTGCTGATCCTCATTCCCGCTGCTTCACACTCGGCTGCGAACCGTTCCAGTGTGAGCTGGAGGCCCTCACCCGATGAAGCCAACAGAACCACATCATCCGCAAAAATCAGAGATGAGATTCTGAGGCCACCAAAGCGAAAGCCCTCCGCCACTTGGCTGCGCCTAGAAATCCTGTCCATAAAAATTATGAACAGAACCGGAGACAAAGGGCAGCCCTGGCGGAGCCCATCACCCACCGGGAACGAGTCCGACTTATTGCCGGCAATGCGAACCAAGCTCTTGCAACGGTTGTATAGGGATCGAATGGCCCGTAGCAATGGGCCAGACACCCCATACTCCCGCAACACCTCCCACAGGACACCCCGAGGGACACGGTCGAATGCCTTCTCCAAGTCCACAAAACACATGTAGACTGGTTGGGCAAACTCCCATGCACCCTCAAGTATCCTCGAGAGGACAAAGAGCTGGTCCAGTGTTCCGCGACCAGGACGAAAACCGCATTGTTCCTCCTGTATCCGAGGTTCGACTAGCGGACGAACTCTCCTTTCAAGCACCCTGGCATAGACTTTCCCAGGGAGGCTGAGGAGTGTGATCCCCCTGTAGTTGGAACACACCCTCCGGTCCCCCTTCTTAAAGATGGGGACCACCACCCCGGTCTGCCAGTCCACGGGTACTGCCCCTGATCTCCACGCAACATTGCAGAGGCGTGTCAACCAGGACAGCCCTACAACGTCCAGAGCCTTCAGGAACTCGGGGTGGACCTCATCAACACCAGGGGCTCTGCCACCAAGGAGTTGTTTAACTGCCTCAGTGACCTCGCCCCCGGAAATTGGCGGGTCATTCCCCTCATCCCCAGACTCTGCTTCCTCCTCGGAAGACGTGTCAGTGGGATTAAGGAGGTCCTCGAAGTATTCCTTCCACCGCCTGACAATTTTTTCAGTCGACGTCCGCAGCGCTCCACCAGCACTATACACAGTGCAGGTAGAGCACCGCTTTCCCCTCCTGAGACGCCTGACGGTTTGCCAGAATCTCTTCGAGGCAGTCCGAAAGTCTTTTTCCATGGCCTCTCCGAACTCCTCCCACACCCGAGTTTTTGCTTCAGCAACTGCCCGAGCCGCATTCCACTTGGCCTGTCGATACCTGTCGGCTGCCTCCGGAGTCCCACAGGCTAACCAAGCCCGATAGGACTCCTTCTTCAGCCTGGTGGCTCCCTTCACCTCTGGTGTCCACCATTTGGTTCGGGGATTACCACCACGGCAGGCACCAACCACCTTGCGGCCGCAGCTCAATGCAGCAGCTTCGGCAATGGAGACGCTGAACATGGTCCATTCGGACTCAATGTCCCCAGTCTCCCTCGGAATGCTGTTGAAGCTCTGCCGGAGGTGTGCGTTGAAGATCTCGCGGACTGGGGCCTTTAAATCATCAAACTGTAAATTATACATTTTAAATTGTTATTGATCCCTTTATCCCGAGTCCTAAAGTGTATATTTATTTTCTTACTCTTCTTATATTTATTTTTTGTTTACTTGCACTGCTGTAACTGGAGTCTCGTCTCTCTATATACTGGACTGTATGTAGTGGAGATGACAATAAAGTTTACTTTGACTTCTCGCGCTCACTTTTCATGTATAGAATTTCGAAAAAACATCGGTGCAAAGTCTGTATCATATTGTCTGGTGTTTTCGTGTTTGTTGGTTTGTTTTTATTTTGTTTTATTTTGCGAGTTGGTTATTAGATGCTGCTCCAGCCAGCCAGAGACTCCCCCGCCACCTCGCCCTCTCCTCCCTGTGCCGCAAGCAGCAGGCGCACCTCGCAAACGGAGGGCGCCCTTACTCCCAGCAAATGGGCGATAGAAAACCGATCGGTGCCTATGCCATCCACAGTATGCGCTGGCTGATGTCGGGGCAGCATGAGTACGAGCAATTTTATTTTATGTTTTGCAGATGCCCGTGATGCCGCCCCCCACCACTATGCCGGCCCGGGCAACCGCCCATGTCGCCCATATCAAAAACTGCTACTGGGTAGGATGTTTTGACAAGGTTTTTGTCAGAACACCGGTGCGTGTGTCAAAAAAATCAACACACTGCTTCAGAAGCACTGTGTCGAAGCTTGATTTGCTTGGCCATAGTCATGTCATTAGTGACGTCCGAAGCTTCATTTAGAACCTAACTGCTTCGGTGTCTGATTCACTGGTTTATAAGCAGGTGAATCATTCGCGGGGTTTGTGGAGTGTTTTGATGGTGACAGATAGCGAACCACTGATATTTATATTGAGAGATTTGGAGCCAGCGAAGAATAGAGGAGTTTCTGTTGTGTGGGACTATTTTGAGTTGATTTTGGTCAATTGGGTGGGTTTTCCAGCTTATTGTTCTTGTTGTTTGCTTTTGTTTTGTGCATGTTTATTTTACCTGACAACGGGACAAACTTAAAATGTCAAAAATCTGCTTTTCATAATATAAATATTGTGGCATGCAGAGGAATCTTTACAGAGAATCTCACAGAGAGAGATTGAGCTTGTTATTCAACCCCAAGCTGGTAGGGGGAGCTCTTTATTAAAACACTAGCTTGTGCTACAATGTGCCTCAAGGTTCAACAACAGCACAACAGAAGTCACTCATGGTACAGCACTCTCTCTACAAAACAACAACTGTCAGTGACTCTGCACCACAGCGTGAACACAACATTCAAGATAACAGTTAAAAGTAACGTAATCATAAACAATAAAACAAGAACATCTAAACAGCAGCACATGTCCCAAGGCATGATGGGAGAGAACTTGCTGTTCCCCCAACACGCCACACAGCCCCCACCTGAGTGGTTAGCTGTCCCCAGCAACCGGCATGTCCATAGCAAAGTCTCTGAGGTGTTGGGGAAGGCAACGGCTTTGTTAAGGACATTCCATGGGTCCCCCAGCTGCCTCTGAGGCCAGGTTGGGGGCCTGCAGTTTAATCTGGGACCCTGACTCCTCCCTGGATGGGCTGATAGGGTGCCAGGCGATCACGATGGAGTACGACCACCCTGTTCCGTTTGACCAGCCGTTCCCTGTAGACCACGTCGGACAGCCTCTCGAGAACAGTGCAGGGTCCAACCCACTGGCTCATCAGTTTGGGAGAAAGCCCTTTCTTCCTCTCCAAGCTGTAGACCCACATATGCTGACCGGGTGAGAGTCCTTCCCCCTTGCAGCGGGTATCATAAGCTCGCTTCTGCCAGGAGCCTGCATCTCGGAGAGCCTGCCTGGTCAACTGATGCACCTCTCGGAGCCGGGCGAGGAGGTTGTGGAGGTAGTCCAACCCGGGGTCCCCGCACACTTCCTGCTCGGGGAGATCCAAACACAAAGTCCACTGGGGTACGAAGCTCATGACCGAACATCAAGGCCGCTGGAGTGCACTTAGTAGATTCCTGGACTGCAGAACGGTAGGCCATTAGGACCAGAGGAAGGTGTTGATCCTAGTCACGCTGCTGGCGGGAGGTCAGGATAGCAAGCTGGGTGGCCAGGGTGCGGTTGAAGCGTTCCACCAACCCATCGCTTTGGGGGTGCAGTGGTGTTGTCCGGGTCTTCCTGATACCCAGCCGCTGACAGACCTCCTTGAACACCGCAGCCTCAAAATTCCGGCCCTGGTCGCTGTGCAGTTTCTCTGGTACCCCGAACCGGCAGAACATCTCGTTGACCAGACGCTCAGCAGTGGTAACAGCACTCTGGTCAAGGACTGCATAGGCCTCAGGCCACTTAGTGAAGTAGTCCATGGCAACCAGGACGTAGCGGTTCCCCTGGTCAGTGGTGGGGAAGGGTCCAAGGATGTCCACACCAACCCGCTCCATGGGGGCACCCACCTGATACTGCTGCAAGGGGGCATGAGAGGGTTGGGAAGGCCCTTTCTGAGCCGTGCAGGCATTGCACCGATGGACATGGAGCTCTACGTCCTGGCGACACCCGGGCCAGTAGAACCGAGACCGAAGTCGCCGCAGAGTCTTGGTAACTCCAAAATGTCCTGCCCCCACCGCACCATGGACCAGCTGGAGCACCCTGGACCGCAACTGTTGAGGTACCACGATCTGGAAGACCTCACGGTGACCCCGCCCTGTGGTGACGTGATCACTGAAGTCATGCCCTCCCGGTCCTCCAAGCGTTGGCAGTACTTGACGAAACGCCGGTAGTATGATGCCAGGCCAAGGAAGCTCCGCAACTCAGCAGTGTTGCCCGGGATGGGCCAGTCTTTCACAGCGGCCACCTTCGCAGGGTCAGTGGAAACCCCTGCTCCGCTCACAACGTGACCCAAGAAGGTCGTCTCCTTTCGGAAGAGGTGGCACTTTTTGGGATGGAGGCGAAGGCCAGCCTGGCGGATAGCATGGAAAACAGCAGTCAGGTTAGCCAAGGCTTTCTCGAAGTCTGTCGCATGGACAAGGAGGTCATCCAGGTAGACCACACAGCAGTCACGGGGAATGTCAGCCAGAACCCTCTCCATTAGGCGTTCAAATGTGGCTGGGGCATTGCAGAGGCCGAAGGGCATCACCTTAACCCTTTAAAACCGGTCAGAGTGTGCACGCTCCGTTTTGCGTAACTATTTTTAAATCCCGGTAGCACTGCAACCACGTGAGCTAGTGCAATAAATTTTTTTTGTATATGATACCGGAGGAGTTGTACTTACATCTTATGCCATCAGCTTGTCCTAGGTCACAGTTTCCTTCCACATATAGCTTTGCAAAAACTGCATAAAAAGCACTCGCAGCAACAAAAATATAATATTCCAGAAACACGCTTTGCTGATCCGATCAGCTGTTCATAACACTTCCTACGTCCATCAGCACGAACTATTGCATGTCCGCCATGACCTGCCCGAAACCGGAAGTGACGTCATTTTCACGGAAATGTAGTTTACCATCAAGGCCTCATGAGCTTATGCAGGTGTTTTTAAAAGTTATGTTTGACTTCATGACTTTCTGTGTCGTTTCTGGGATACTTAGGACTCATATTGCACTGCTGGAAATAGTTTATTTTGATGCATATGCTGCTTTTTTGCAAATTTGCACTATAATATTTATTTTCATTTTTCCTGCAGTGTATAGAAATTGGTGTATTTCAAAAATAAAACTATGAAGACACTCAAAATAAATTTTGTGTGGTGGGAAACTATTTTATGCAACTTTTTTGTATTTACAGTTTTGAGGGATAAGCCTCTTAAATTTCTCTAACTAGAAATATATGTTAAAAAACAAAAATGATTTTCAATTTTTTTGTAGTTTATTGCACTTTTTTGCAATTTATGTAATTACTATGCACTTAATGCATGCATATTATTAAAATGTAGGCTGTAATGGTTGTATTGATGTATAGCAACTTGAAATGCTCCCAAAAATGGCTCTACAACATGTAAAAATATAATATAAGCTCTGGCGGACTTGGTTCTATGGTAGGTCTTAAAGGGTTAAACTGCCACAGTCCCTGGCCAATGGAGAAAGCAGTCTTTGGGCGGGCCTCTGGCATCAGCTCCACCTGCCAGTAGCCACTGCGCAAATTGAGGGAACTGAACCAGCAGGACCCAGCAATGTCGTTGAGGGCATCGTCAATCTGGGGCAATGGGTAGGAGTCCTTGCGTGTGATGCTGTTGAGTAGACGATAGTCGACACAAAACCGCCAGGTACCATCCTTTTTCTGAACCAGTACAGCCGGGGCTGCCCAGGGGCTGTTTGAGGGTTCGATGATGCCCACCTCTGCCATTTCCCTGATCTTCTGCTCTGCTGCGGCACGCTTGGCAAGGGGAAGGCGACGAGGGCAGCGGCGGATGGGCCGTGCATCCCCAGTGTCAATGTCGTGTTGTACCAGGCTGGTTTGCATGCAGTCCTCATCCTTGGCCGCAAAAGATGTCAGCAAACAAGTCGAGTATCTCTCGCAGCTGCCGCTGCTGATCAGCCTGGAGACCCTCGCAGCTCCTCTGGTATAGGTCCTCGACAGCTTGCTTGGTCTCTGTAGACAGTTGCGGTACTATTGGTGAAGGGAAGGCCCCTTCCCCCGCCAGTGGCGACAGGTCCTCAGGCTTTCTGATGCTGGCTGAAAAAGTGGAGGCAGGCAGCGGGACTTCCTTTGTGGTGTGGAGCTTCACAGCCTCCGTGCCCAGGTAAAGGGTTGCTCGGGACATGTCCACTGTGGCCTCCCATTTGGCTAGCAGGTCCAGACCAATGATGCATTGGTCCTGGATGCTGGCTAGCCAGAACTGGTGGTCCACAGTGTAGTTAGCAACAGTCACTGGGAGGGATCTATCCCCGTTAACTTTGTCAAGCTCCCCCGTGACTGTGGTGATGTGGAGCTGAGTAGGCTGCCAACCCTGCGGTCTTGGGCCATCAGTACCAGGGAGGACTCTGGCCTGTACCAAGGAAAGCGTGGATCCAGTGTCTATCAGGGCTCTACAGGTGGTGCCGGCAAGGTCACAGTCCAGATACAGTCCCCGTGTCTGGCCGAGCCAGCCAACCCGCAAGTGTAAATCGGAGGACAGAGTGGTGGCAGGGGGCAGTTCCTCCATTGTGCCACCCCACCTTAGTTTAACGGCAGCTGGGGTGCCAGGCTTTGTGGGCTTGGTGCTGAACAGTAGCGTGCAACTTGGCCTGGTTCTCCGCACCGATAGCAGTTACCCCTGGATTGGCCTCCTGCTCGTCTATTCCCTCGCCGAGATCGCCAGGGTGGTGTGTTGGTGGTTTGGCGGGCCTCCTCTTCCTGGTCGCTCCTTTCGTAGTCAGTTTGACGCACTTGGTGACTTATGCCAGGGCTGCGTGCACCTGGGCTGAGCACATGCTCCACTCTTTCGGCCTCAGTTAGAGCTGCCGCCAGGGTTTCTGGTGCATGCAGACGGATGTGTTCTTGTAGTCGTTTTGGCTGGAGACCCCGGACAAAAGCCTGGAGAGCAAGCTCTTCTTGTGCTGCAGCATCAAAAGCAGGGTACCCTCTACATGCATAAAGACGTAGGTCGGCAGCATAGGCACTCAGACTCTCCTCTTGTCTCCGTGGGCAGCTAGCAAGTTTATCTCGGGCATCATCTTTATGTGTACGGAGGCCAAACCTGCTCTGCATTGCTTTGGCAACAGAAGGAATCCCACTTCTGATACTAATGTGGCATGCAGAGGAATCTTTACAAAGAAGCTCACAGAGAGAGATTGAGCTTGTTTTTCATCCCCAAGCTGGTAGGGAGAAACATTAGTTTGTGCTACAATGTGCCTCAAGGTTCAACAACAGTACAACAGAAGTCACTCATGGTACAGCACTCTCTCTACAAAACAACAACTGTGACTCTGCACCACAGCGTAAACACAACATTCAAGATAACAGTTAAAAGTAACGTAACCATAAACAATAAAACAAGAACATCTAAACAGCAGCACATGTCCCAAGGCTTGATGGGAGAGAACTAGCTGTTCCCCCAACACGCCACAATATCATTAAATAACTTTAGAAAGACTTCTATTTTACTCTTTACAATTAATGTTATAAAAAGATATATTTTATGTTTTAAATCATCTTAAACTGTTAGTCTGCAAAATGTGCAGCAATTTAATTTATTTATTCTCTTTATCTGATAGTTTGTGGGGCCTGGGTAGACTGTATAACTCCATCTATACCAGTTTCTGTGCACTCCAGCCTCTTCTGTTCCATGTGAAGGGATTTCCCTTTAAGGCAGGAGAAATTATTACCACGAAAAGGAACAGGTCCGGCCATCGCACAGTGGAACAAATTTTCTTCTTAAATACAAATGGAAAAGGGTTACCTTAAATGCATCATACTTTTAATTTGCAAGTTCATAAGCATTTTCCCTTTCCAGTTCACAAGCAATTCTACCCCCAGGTCAAAAATATGTATAGGAAAATTTCCCTAATGTAATATTATTTATAAATATATCCGTCTAGCGATTAACTGCATAAGTACATGGAGGCAGGACCTCACAGCAGAAGCATACTCCATAATGTCTTGTACATTATCATATGTATATTATATGTAACGTGGTATTTTTCAATTATTGTAGTTACCAACATCAAGAAGTCACAAGCAAAGAAAGACCACACAATGGTGCATGTTCAAACAAGGAAAGTTTACTAGTCAAAATTATTTATTAAATAAATAAACAACATTTTTGTCACCCCAAAAAATACACGTTTAAAGCAACACAACGGTGGCCCAATATCAGACAGAATTCCACTCTGTAGAGTGGGCAATCATAATGAAGCAGTTGGTTTTATTTTGTGGATTCAAGCTGCTCTTCATATTTCTGGCCACCAGATGTCACCAGACTGTGTTGACAAGCTTCGAATAATGAACCGTTTTTCAATACAAGCTTCAATGCTTCAGAAAGCTTCATTGACCATCACTACTGTCTGG